ATCCAAACTTGACCAATTGACATATATGAGTTCAAAATGTTGATATGGATAAAAAATTATGAAGTTTGACTATAAATTGACCATAGTTGACTTTTTTCCCAATATAGATGATTTTAGGTCAACTGATCAATTGAGTGACCAAAAATGTGATTCAAAGTTTGAAACTTCACATGAGCAATCTTGATAGTCAAAAATGATCCATGAAAGTCATATGGGGTCTTAAAAGTCCAATTGTGCTTGTGCAAACTCAAACCCTAATTTTGAGTCATCAGTGCTTGAGGAGGTGTCTTAAGTTAATCCATCCTTGTGCCTTCTTGAACCAATGGACATCTTGTGAGAGAAATATTGAGAAAATGAGAGGGAAAATTTTGGGATACAACACAACTGAAATTAGGGTTTTGGATTAAATCAGTTTATTTCTAACTTTTTGAACAAAACTTGATTCATTGGCCTTCTATGTGTTCTAAAGTACCTATTTGTGAAGTATTTGTCAATAATTTTAATCAGAAGAGGTTCAAGTGGTCATTTTACAAGTGAATTGACTATGTTGGGGAAAAGTAAATTGTGCATTCAAAAAGTCAACTCTTGACTTTTTATGGTCAATGTTGTTTTCTACAAGTCAAATATGGTCAATGGATGACAATTGAACAAGAAAAATTAAGAGAATCATCAAAAATCAAGAATTGTGAAAAGTTGCCTAATTTGAAAAACTAGGGTGTTAAAAAGTTACTATTTTTTGGTAATTTTATGACTTGTGATCAGTTTCATGCACCTGTTTTCATGCCACTTTTCTCATTGATCAATGTATTATTTCAAGACAACTTCATAACCAATTTTGTTATACTCTTTCTAAGCTTTCCAATACCAATTTCATCACAAATGGATGATTAGTTTGCAAGTTATGATGAATTATAGTTAGGTGATTCAACATTCAAAATTCTAAAACTTAGAGAAATTTTCTAAGTGTTATGATCAATTCCAATCAACCATTTTCCAGTTTTGAAGGACTTCCAAGCTCACAATCCAAATTCTTTCAACATATAAGTTCTTCACCTTGCTTCTCTCTTTCCAAAGAGCCTAGTTTCATTTCATTTGAATCATTATCCATTGAGTTATGGGGAATTGAAGTTGGTTGTATGATGGTAGTTGAATGGAACGAGAATTATGGATTTTGTACACATAACTTGCATTTTTTGCTTGCAGTGTGCACTACACGCTATCCACTCTCAATTCTTTCTCAAAATAGCCCACAATTCATGCATCATACAAGCACACATTCTCAAAGTTTGGCCAAAATAAGGAAAAACTTGAAATTGGTACAACCTGACTCCATGTGCACTCAGTGCCAGCACACCATTACATGCTTTTCTCACTCCATTTCACTCTCCAAAACGTAGCAAAACTCACACTCACAAGGCACAAAAACTCATACCACTTCTCACGATGCTCATTTTTTGAAAAATGGAAAAAACTTGCCCCTAAACTAAATTGTGAGCATATTTAACTCTCAAATCTCACACACTTGCTCTATCTAAGTGATTCATTCTCTCCATACTCACACACACGCAAGGAATAGCAAAAAAAATCAGATCTACACTCAAATCAAGCTTTCATTGATTTTCTGAAATCTCTCAAGTTCCCTTCATTCTTTGGCTCATTTCTGCTTCTATGAAGATCATAGATCAAGTACTCTTGGGTTTCTGAAGTCCTCACACAAGGAAGAGAGCAGTGGACTTAACTTCCACTTGGTAATCTCTTCAAACTTTCATTCTCTCATGCTTAGATTTAAGGGGTATAAACTGCTATAAATATGTTCATTCATCTTCATCTAAAATTCTTGAAATGATGGCACTACTTAAATGTTTGAACGCATGATGTTTGGATCTTGGGTTTTCAGCTTTTATGTACGAATTTTGTGCCATTTTTCTATGTGATTGAGTTTTCGTTTTGAGATTTAAATGGTATGGTGATGATCCTTATTCTTTGTACTTCATTTTTGGTTCTTACTTTGTTTAATTTCATGGAATATTAAGGGAGATATTGGAATTCTAAAATTGCATGAAATACACGATTAGGGCTTGCAACCTAGTTTTGTTTTGTTGAAATGAAGAAGATGAAGTGTGATTGGTCATGAAATTCTCATACACCCATTCTCTCTCCGCCAGCACATGCGTTTTATTACTTTTATTATTATTTTAAATCAGACAAGAGAAATGTGTGGTAATGCATGATTGGCTGGTGTGTGTTTTCTTCATTTAGTGACTTAAGGTGGATGTGCCCAATTCACACATGTTCTACATGCATTTTGTTACATTTTAAAATCTGAAATAACAAAAACAAAAAATGAGATATTGTTTGTTGGTTTGGGCTGAGTAGCGTATTGGGATTTATCCCTCTTACTTTTTTGCACCCATGTTTCCCCGGACCATGCACCTTATTAACTAATCTTAGTTTATTTATCATTTTGTTTATACACCCCCTGACTTGCTTTGTAATTTTTATTTCCTTTTTCCAATTTCATTTAATTTTAGTAGTTCTCTTATTCCAAAAAAATTCACAAAAAGTATATTCTGACTCTTTAATGATTTACTTAATTTTCCATAATTTTTATTTTCTATTTTCCATTTAAGTTTCTACTTTTATTTGAGTTAATTACAAAAGGTGTTTTAGTTGGTTTTATTTGTGATCAAAGATTTGTTTCAAATTTTATTCTTGACTTCCCTCCAATATTAAAAATCTACAAAAATATGTCTCATGATCGTTAGAGTCTTAGGTTTATATATTTGATTTTTGTTTTATTTTTACTTTTATTTTTATATTTTATTTGGAATTATTTTGTGAATGAGTTTAATGGACCTAGTCTTTTGAATTAGAGTTTAATTCTTGATGTTTTCAATTGATTTTTTATCCCAATTTTTGTACACACTTAGGCATGTGTATATATGACATTTGAGAGTTCATTTTGTGCTTTGATCATTAATTTTGGTCCATAAAATTGAATCTCTTTTGAAGCTAGACTTGTGTGGTCTTGTTTGAACTTGACTTGCTTGATGATTGATATTGTTTGAGAAATGTTGTGCACTTCCTTTAGGCTCATTTTTGAGAATTTGTTAGCCTCTAACTTCACTATACTTTGATGGTTTTAAACTCATTTTTGAAGCCTCCTAACTATTTTCCTTGTGTGATTCAATGCATGCTTCTTTGTGTGGAACTTGGTGTTTAATGATGAGATGTTTAGGGATGCACCTATGAAACCATTTAGGGGTGGTGCTTGTCTCTTATTCTTGTTTGAAATACAATGTGTTAGAGCCTTCTCCCCTATTTATATAGGTCATTCCATGCCATTGTGAATGATGATGCACTTATGTGAAGTTTAACATTCTTACCTGCCTATTTTCGTACCTTTCCTTGAACTTCTCATGCTATTTCTTCTTGACGCTTATGATACTTGTATGATTGATATTACATGTCCTTTCCCTCTGAATTCTTTTATTTGAATACCTATTTTTCCTTACCTTATTTGATCATTTGATCATTATGTTGGTGATGATCCATTTAGGTGATACCCTAGAGTTTGTTTCCTAATTGTTTGACCCTCTTTCTATGCATGAAAAATTGATGTTTTAAAGCCAATATAGATATGGAATACCTTGTGTTTGCTTCTGATTTTTTTTCATCTAAATTCTTCATCGCATATTTAGTCGATCATTTATTTTCCATGATTTGAGGTTTCTTTTTTAAGATGACAAGATGTGATGGGATTGTTTCTTTGTTTGATCATTGTTGAATGTGATATTAGTGTGAACTTTTGCAAGCTTTAAGATATGATTAAATTGAATCTCTTGTTCTTATTTTCCCTATCTCATTCATCCTATTGATATCCATTTTCCCTTATTGTTAACTTTTCATGATTAAGGGACTAGTTTCCACTTAGGGATGTTTGTGACTATGTCCTTGTGTGATATTGTTGTGCCTTTCCCTTAAGCTTAAATGTATGATGATGATGAGTTCCTTAATCCCTTGCTACTGACTTGTATGTCTTTTCATCACTCTCACTTTATTTCACCTTCTTATGCCATGTTAGGTTAAACAATGGACACATAGAGCTATCTTAGAGACATTAAAGTTTCAAAGTTTTCAATTTGATTTCATTCTCATTGGAATCTAAAGTCAAGACTCAATAAGAAGAAGTTCTATAAAATCAAGATCTCAATTGTTCTATTGGCACCAAGATCTCAATTTTTCCATTGGCATCCAAATTCAAGACTCTCAAGATCTCGATATCTGATCTATTAGAACCAGGGGGAGTTTTACTCAAATGGTACAGAGTCTGGATATTCGATCTTCATCAAGTCATTGACTCAGGGGGAGTATCATAAAAAGGATAAGTATTCATTACCTTTCTATTTTCACTATTTTTTTTATTATACGAACAAAATTGTGTCATCAAAATACATAGTTTTGTCATCGTCAAAAAGGGGGAGATTGTAAGAACAAGATTTGGTTCTGAAATATTATCTTTGAGTTTTGATGATAACAAATGAATATGTTTGTATGAACAATTTTGATACTCTAATGTTTGTTATTGTTGAGTACTTAACAAACAGGTTATGTTTCTGATGGATAGCGTGGCAAAGACATTAGAAAAGGATTAATTTTGCTTCTGCACTACACAAGTTATGTTGAACAGTAGGAAGACATTCCAGAAGGCTATGAAGTGTAAGCTCTGATGTTTGTCTAAAGAAACCAGTCATAAGATCTGAAGACAGAAGTTGCTACTTAAGTCCAGATGTTGAAGACTCATGTTTCTGAAGACAACGGGTTCTAAATAAACTTGTCAGAAGATTTGAAGACAAGTTTCTACTCAAGTCCAGATGCTAAATACTTGAATTTTTAAAGACCCAAGGCTCTAAGGAAAGTTTCTCACAAGCAAGTGTTGAAGACTCTGAAGACGCAGTTCTAAAGACTCTGAAGACTAGAAGTTTTGATGACCTTGTGTTATGTTCTCGCTTATAAACTCATGCTCGCCGAAGCCTCTGAAGTGCAGAAGGAAAGAATATAATGTTAACGTGGTAAAAATAGTACATGGTACAATCAATGTTTCATTTCACTACCATGAAAGGACGGACGTGTCGCACGATCTTGTCCCCCACATTACTGTTCAAGCTGCCAATGTTTCTGGAAATCCCAAGAGTACCCCTTAATAGATATATTATTTTATTACCTATATAAAGGCTTGAAGAATAAGAGAAAAGCTGTCAATTCACTAAATAATCATGCGCAAACATTGTTCATAGCTTTCATGTTCTTAAGTCATTATTCTTAAAATAGTTTACATATTCAGCTTGTTTAGAAGCAATATTCTTGTAAACAAAACTTGTATTCAAACAGTTGTTTGATTTTACTTAAGGGACCGAGTAGGTCTGTATTCTTAAGAAGTCTAGGACTTACGAGTTTTAGAGGTTGTTAGTCACTTACGGGTAGCTTGTGCATTGTAATAATCAGGTTAATTATTGTTTGATATTCCTTAAGGGACCAGGTAGGTATGTATCCTTAAGAAGTCTTTGACTTGCGAGTCTTAGAGGTTGTTAGTCACTTGCAGGTAGCTTGTGAAAATTGTAATCAGTTTGGTTATAGTGAATTAAGTCCTCGATTGAGTGAGGAGAAATCACCTTGGCGGGTGGACTAGACTAGCTTGATAATTTTCAAGTGAACTAGTATAAACATACATTGTACTTTACTTCCTATTTTTACTTATTGTTATTATAAAGAGTGAATATTAAAAGGATTTTAACTTAAAGGGGAATATTTTTGAAAAAAAGTTTTTGTTTTAAAAACCCAATTCAACCCCCCCCCCCCCCCCTTTCTTGTGTTTTTCACACCTTCAATTGGCATCAGAGCTCCGGTTTTGAGGAGATAAAAAGTTTAAATTTTTATCAACACTTAACAGTGTCCAGTAATGATCCAGTGTATGTGAAAATTAAATGGCTACACCTGCTTTTACTGTTGATAATGGGGATAATGATAGAGATCACTATAGTTTAAAACCTCATATGTTTGATGGGGAGAAATTTGACTATTGGAAGGATAGAATAGAAAGTCATTTTCTAGCATATGAATTTGATCTATGCGACTTGGTAGATGATGGATACACTCATCCAGTAGACGATAAAGGTCATAAGATTGCAAGAAGTGCAATGACAGAAGCACAGAAGAAAGTATGTAGAAATCACTACAAAGCAAGAACCATTCTTCTAAGTGTTATTTCATATAATGAATATGAGAAATAACAGATAGAGAGACTACAAAGTCTATCTTTGATTCTCTTCAGATGACACGTGAAGGAAACACACAAGTAAAAGAAACAAAGTCTTTGGCCTTAATTCAAAAATATGAAGCCTTCGAGATGGAAGATGATGAATCTGTGGAAACGATGTTTTCAAGATTTCAGAATCTTGTGGCAGGACTTAAGATTATGAATAAAGGTTACTCCACTGTAGATCATGTTAAAAATATTATCATAAGTCTACCTGTCAAATGGATACCAATGGTAACTTCTTTAAAATTGGCAAAGGATCTGAACAACACCTCTCTTGAGGAGCTGATTATCTCTTTAAGAAGTCATGAAATAGAGCTGGAACAAGATGAACCTCAGAAAAGGGTAAAATCAGTTGCTCTAAAGTCTACTTATGGGAAAACCAAGGCTTAATCAAGCTAAGGAAGAATCTGAAGAATCTGAAGAAGATTCAGATGATGATGAACTCTCTCTGATATCTAGAAGAATAAGTCAAATCTGGAAGCACTGACAAAGCAAGTTCAGAGGTCAACGAAGGACATATGGAAGAGGTGAATCCATTTCCGATCAGAGGAATACTTCTGGAAAAGAAGTTACTTGCTTTGAATGCAACGAGCCTGGATATTACAAAAATGATTGTCCAAAGCTCAAGAAAAACAAAAAGCCTAAGAAGGCTTACAAAGCTAAAAAGGGTCTCATGGCAACATGGGATGATTCAAAATCATAAGATGAAGATTCTGATGAAGAGCATGCAAACATGGCATTCATGGTCAGGACCAGCAAGGAAGAAGCAGCATCAGAAGACCAACTGACACCTAACTATGAGTCAGACTATGACGACGACAAAGAGGTACTATCATCCTTATCTCATTTTGAACTTGAAATTGGTTTATATAAATTAATGAAATGGTATCAATATCTTCTAAGTAAACACAAAATCTTAAAAAAGAGTTTTATAGCTACTTCTGAGAACACTATGATAGATGAGAGAAATATTTCTGACTTAAATGAAAAATTGTTTGTTTTAGAAAAACCAAACATTGCTCTGAAAAGTAAAGTGTCTAGATTAGAAGAAGAGATTTTCTCTAACACATCTGTTACTGACGAAGTAATCAGATATGATAGAGATTTTCAACACTTCCTTGCTAAAAGCAAAGATGGAAGCAAAATGGCTTCAATGATCTATGGTGTCAGTAGAAATGGAAGCAGAGGCTTGGGATATTCAAGACTTTCAAAAAAATTGATGAGACTCTGAATGTCAAACCAAAACCTCTTTTTGAACATTTCATGCTTGCTGGCACGGATTTGAAATGTCTAGAACAAGAAGGTTTTGATACTACTATAACACAAACACAGACACAGAAGGAAACTTCTAAACCAAAGTATTATGCACAAATTTCACATGATTATCCTGTTTCACAAAAGAACAAAGGAGTCAGAACCTCTGGAACTTATAACAAAAGAGGACCCAGAAAGTGGGTACTTAAGGATCGGATAATCTACATTGTATATTTCGTTGATGGAGCTACTGAAACACCAATCATGGTACCTAGACTGTGGATACTCGCGAAACATGATGGGCGAAAGACATATGTTCCAAGATTAGAACTTAAGTCTGGAGGCATTGTTGGGTTCAGAGGCGATCATAAGGGAAAGATCACTGGCTCTAGAACAATTGGTAATGATAAATTATCTTCTATTAACAATGTTCTTTTATTCGAAGGTCTGATCCATAACTTATTGTCAATCAGTCAACTTAGTGACAATGGTTATGACGTTATTTTTAATAAAACATCCAGTAAAGCTATTAGTCAGAAGGATGGATAAGTTTTGTTCAATGGCAAGAGGAAGAACAATATTTATAAAATAATATTATTAGATTTGAAAAATAAAAATGTAAAATGTCTTCTTACTGTTCAGGAAGAGCAATGGGTCTGGCATAGACGTCTGGGTCAAGTTAGCTTAAGAAAGATTTCTCAACTAAATAAACTTGGATTAGTCAGAGCCTTGCCCAATCTGAAGTATACTTCAAATGCCCTTTATGAAGCTTGTAACAATGGGAAATTTTCAAAAACCTCTTTCAAAGGTAAAAAGATTGTTTCTATTTCTAGGCCATTAGAACTTCTTCACATTGACTTATTTGGGCCAGTGAAAACTGCTTCTGTCAATGGTAATAAATATGGACTTGTCATTGTTGATAATTATAGCAGATGGACATGGGTAAAATTCTTGAAACACAAGGATGAGTCATACTCTGTATTTTCTTCCTTTTGTTCCCTAGTGCAAAATGAAAAAGATTGCAAAATAGTCATAGTTCAAAGTGATCATGGTGGAGAATTTGAAAATAAAGATTTTGAAAAACTTGTTGATTCAAATGGAATAGTACATGATTTTTCTTGTCCTAGAACTCCACAACATAACGGAGTTGTAGAAAAGAAAAATAGAACACTGCAAGAAATGGCTCGCACCATGATCCAAGAAACTCATATGGCAAAGCACTTCTGGGCAGAAGCAGTGAATACAACGTGTTATATTCAAAATAGAATCTCCATCAGACCTAATTTAAGTAAGACTCCTTATGAATTGTGGAAGAATAGAAAGCCCAACATTTCCTATTTCCATCCATTTTGATGTACTTGTTATATGTTAAACACTAAAGAGAATCTGGGTAAGTTTGATTCCAAGGCACATAAGTGTCTGTTATTAGGATACTCTGAATGCTCTAAAGGCTTCAGAATCAATAACATAGAATCACAAATTATGGAGGAATAAATCCATATCATATTTGACAATAAGCTTGACTATGAAAAGTCAAAGCTGTGTGAAAAGCTTGCAGATGTGACTATAACATTCACTGAACCAAAGGAGAAGATTCAAAAAGATAAAAAATCAGAAGCTCCTTCTTTTAATTTTGTTGATAGTTCTTCTAATCAACCTCAACCAAGGAAGAACAGAATCACATCCTCTCATTCTGGAGATCTCATTCTTGGAAGTAAAGATGCTCCAGTTAGAACAAAATCAACACTCAAACCTTTTGATGAAGTGCTTCTGGATTTAGTATCTTTAATAGAACCTACATATATTAAGGAAGCCATTTCTAGATAAGGACTGGATTCTGGCTATGGAAGAAGAACTGAACCAATTCTCAAAGAATTATGTATGGGATCTTATTTAGAAACCTAAAGGTGTCCATGTCATTGGAACCAAAAAGGTGTTCAGAAATAAGCTCAATGAGAAGGGTGAAGTTGTCAGAAACAAAGCATGACTGGTTGCACAAGGTTATAGTAAACAAGAAGGAATAGACTATACATAAACCTTTGCACCAGTCACTAGGTTAGAAGCTATTCGGTTTGTAGTTTCTTTTTCTGTAAATCATAACATCATCCTTTATTAGGTGGATGTTAAGAGTGCACTTCTGAATGGTTATATTTAAAAAGAAGTGTATGTCAAACAGCCTCCTGACTTTGAAAACTCTGAGAAATCATACTTTTTTTAAACAAATGAAATCTCTTTATGGCTTGAAACAAGCTCTCAGAGCTTGGTATGACAGATTGAACAATTTCATTTTAGAAAATAAGTTTACCAGAGGAAAGATTGACACTACACTCTTCTACAAAACATACAAAAATGATATTTGTAATACAGTGAGAGAACTGACTTTACTGTTTATGCATTTTTATCATAATATTGCGGTTAGCAAGAGTCGCCACCGACTTTTTTTTTCCAACAAAGGAAAGGGTGAAAAGAACAGGAAAGACCTTTCGAGATTATTTTCTGAGTAAGGGGGTAGGTTATGGAAAGGTCTTTCCTGCTCTTTTCACCCTTTCCTTTATTGGATAAAATAAAAGTTGGTGGCGACTCTTTCTATCCGCAACATTTGAGAATAAAAATGTAAAACCAGTAAAGTCA